AATGTATATATATATATTTATACACACACACACACACACACACATATATATATATATATATATTTATATATTTTTTTTTTTTTTTACAGTTTTAGTTAACAATAACACTGTACTGCACACGCTCTGAAGCTCATGTGGGCGATACAGGTTTGATTTCCCAATCTCTATCACTTCCCGTCCTATATTCTCATAAAAACGACAAATAAAATAAATATGTAAAGCATGCACTAACGCTCAGCAAGTGTCACAGGTGTGCTGTCAGCGAACGCTTCAGGAAGATTCAGGACGTCTGAATGATTCCACAAGGACAGGCAGAAAAAGTGAATCGACCAGGATGCGTCTAATGATAACCCTAAATATCTGTGAAAGGAACACCTCTCGGCAGAAGATCCCTGCTTTAACGCTGAGACTCTGACAAAACAGCCATCTCCGACAGGGATCTGGGGAATCAGTGTTTTTTATCCGCAGTTCCCGTGTGGCACATGAATGCGGCAGCTTTCTGGGTCACGGAACATCCAGTGAAGGAGGATTTACTCCAGGGAACCAAACAAAGGTCCTGCGTTTCAGACGAGACTAACAGCTCTGTCAAAATATATGCCATTCTCACAGGAAGTAAATGAGGAGACGTGACACTCCAGTGCGTACACAATCTACATCTCACATACGTTTTCCCTCAGGATTTTCTGTATTTATCTATTCATCTCCTCCTCTCTTTGTTTGATGTAAGAGACAAAGAATCCACAAAGAATGTTTATTATTTTAGTGCTCTAAGGCGAGACACTACAAGCAAAAACATAGTTTTTTCCTGCATTGGTCAATTTTGAACTTTTTGACTTTTCATAGTGTGTTTTTTCAGAGTAGTGGAAATTTAAGCTTTTATTTTATTGCTCTTTATCTATTTGCGTCGATAGATTTCAATTCCAGTTAGTAACACTTGCACACACCAAAACTTATATCCTGAATCTTTTTCTGAGGGGTTTGTACATATATAATTCACACTGATTTATACAGCATTTTAATTCTAAAACATGGTGAAAATGCATATTTTTTCTCCACTTCAGCAGCACTTACATACACCAAAACTTACAGTTTTATTCCTATCTATATTCTTAAGATTTTTACTGAGGGGTTTGTTCATATATTATTCACACTGATTTGTAGGACATTTTATTACTAAAAAACATGGTGAAAATGCATATTTTTAAAGGCCATGAGTTTTTTCTCCACTTCAGCAGCACTTACATACACCAAACTTTACAGTTTTATTCCCATCTATATTCTTAAGATTTTTACTGAGGGGTTTGTTCATATATTATTCACACTAATTTGTAGGACATTTTATTCCTAAAAAAACATGGTGAAAATGCATATTTTTAAAGGTCCTGAGTTTTTATTCTGAAGGGTTTTACTGAGGGGACTTGCGTTCACTAACTGATATGAAGTCTCACTCACTTGTGTCTGAACGGCGAGGCGAACTGACAGTACTGGCAGCTGTATTTGTCGTTTCTGTTGACGAGCGCTACGGCCGTGTGGCTCCTCTCGTGAGAACGCAGGCCCTGCATGGACATGAACATACGATTGCACATGCTGCACGGATGCCCAGGAACCACGCGCTCCTTCTCCGGCTCCAGCGCTCCAACCATCGGCTCCGTTTCCACGGCCACCGTCTCCTCCGTCTCCATGGTGACGTCAGCCGGTGATGCACCAGTCTCCAATGGGTCAGCGTCCATGGCAACCACATCCGCCACGTCGCCGTTGGTGATTCCGTCCACGGGAACGGCAACAGGCATCTCCGCTGCTTCCTGCTGTCAGAGGAAATCACTGATATTACTCATACAGTAAAGGACCAAATCTGCAAGACGTTTTGCATTGTGACATTATTTTCATGACAATTAAACACATTCCACCATTAATTCTCATTACTGTAATATATATAAACTACTGCATATTAGAATGATTTCTGAAGGATCATGTGACACTGAAGAAATTATGCTAAAAATTCAGCTTTGATCACAGGATTAAATGATTATTTCACATAGAAAACAGCTATTTATATTTTAATAATATTTCACAATTTTACAGTATTTTTGATCACATAGGCTAAATGCAGCTTTGGTGAGCAGAAGACACTTCTTTCAAAAACATGTTTACAGTATATAGTTTACATGTATTCTTCATTTTGTGGTGAAACAACAAAACTAGTCATGTTCTTGACATATTTAAGGTTCCTGACCTTTATTAATCCTGATAGATCTCACTCATATATGATATTTCTCTCCGGGTTTGGAGGTGATCATCAGCTCTGGACTGAAGCACAGATGATCCGTGTTTGATTACGGCCATTAAAGCACTCTGAGGCTGAGAGCTCTATCGGGACATCCCTTTTTCCTTATTTAGAAATGGCCAAGAGGTTCCTGTGTGTTTCTGAGACATCTGCTGCTTTACAGCAAGAGAAAATTCAGCATCTCAGAGAGAGAACTGACCCTGCACTTCAGACGGATGTAAATAAGACGCTCCTGCACCGTCAGCCAATCAGAGGCACAAACACAACCAAAGAAATACATTTAGACATTTTCTGAAAAAAAAAAATGTGTTGCACCAGATTTGACCTTTGAAAAAGTGATCTCAACTATTATCTTTACAGCCCATTCTTGAATCATTATATTGATCCGACTGATATTTAACACAATGCAATTACAAAGATAAAAAAAATTCACACAAATAACCAAACCAAATGCCCATAATAACTAGACGCCACAACAGTAAAACACAATATTACTATTTTAAACATGTAACATTGCATACTAATTCAAAACGATGATAACATTAATAGTGCGCATTACGCAGCACAGTATTCTATGCAGTAGTGTAAGGTTTCCCAAACTGGAATTCAAATTGAATGAAAAACTAATTAAATAAATCATATACATTTTAATTATACAAAATTTCTGTAAAAGTAGAGAATTTTGTTTCTAGGACTGATGGCATGTATACCTGGTATCCATTCTGCATCCATATTAACATTAATGTTTTTGTTTAATTGTAAAAATGATGCCTGTTTAGGTCATTGTCTGCATGGTAACACTTTATATTGATAGTCCACTTTAGACATTCTACTAACAGCAAGTAACTTTGCAACTACATGTCAACTAGCAGTCATTAGAGTATTAATAGACTGTCTGCTTAATTTCTTCTAACACTTTATTTTGGTAAGTCCACAACATACAACACACCGACTATGAGAATCTTTGCAAGTATATGTCAACTTATTCTACTAACCCTAAACCTAACCTAACAGTCCACTCTGAGAGTTAGTAGATATGCTGTTGCAAATTAATGAGAATTAGTTGACATGTAGTTGCAAAGTTACTTAAATTACTGTTCTCAGGAGGACTTCACAAAAATATTTTAGCTCAAAGAGCTTCAGCTTACGAAAAACCTAAAACCTTCCTGCCCGTGTTTCTTTGTTCAGAGTGTGTGTTCTGTGCCGTGAGCGCTGCCCCCTAGTGTCCGGTGCGATCCGTCCCATCTGCTGATCCTCACTGGGCTTCCGTTCAAATCCTCAGGCTGGGCCTCCCTGCCAGCACTGGCACTCTCAGTGGAATACTAACACTAAGGCGCTTACACGCCTCTCTCCACGCCACACCGTCAAGACGACGGAAGGGTTGCATCGAGAGTCTCAGGATTCTTCTGTGATACACAAACTGGACTTGGCCATGTCTAAATGCAGCTCTCTGCAGAAACAGTCCACCTTAAACGCTACGGTTAATGAGGAAAGTCCTCATTATGAAAACCATTACACTGTACAAAACAGCACACATTTCTACTATAATACAGATATTGCAACCATGCATTAACTAATTGAAACTAACATTTATGCTCTTTAAACAGCATTTTGCCAATTCATTGTTTAATTATGCACAGAGATTTCATAAGCTCTGTACTTTTAAAAATTAATTTGTCACACTGCAGGACCATTTTAGATCAACTACTGTAGATGAAAGTTGATTAAATGTGGATCTAAGAAATACACTTTCCTCTCTACATTAATATAAATGTTAACCTAAAATCTTTTGAAGTCCATAGACATGCAAGGCATCATAGGTGCGCTCCTGACAGAAAGGCTGTTCCAAGAGGTTGGTAGCAACATTGTTGGCTTCTAAATACACATTCTAAGGTCGCTTCACATTCAGAAAAGAGCTTCAGAAATAAAAAGAAAATCCTTCAATCCTTATATACAAAACGTGTAACACAAGGCCGCTAGATTTAATTACATGACCAACTTTATGGCACGTTGAAGGCTGTCCTCATGAATGCCCACACAAGGAAATAAAACGCTCGAGTTTAAGGAAATGTCATAATACCGCACTAGTCCATTTTCCCTGTTTCTTCTGCAATACTCAAGGATTTGCTCTATTTGTCCATTTCATTGAATGTGCAGTCGAACTGTAATGGTCTAACCATCCAAACAAGTGAACAAAACACTTGAGTGGAAGGAAAAACAGGTCCAAACGGCCTGTGAATGCACTTGCTATTAGAGTAGAGCAGAAGAAGAGAGGCCACCTCAGGAAAAAAAGGATTTAGATATTGTGCACAAATCTAATTAAGATGCCAAAAACAGATGAGAAAACTAATGCAACTGTATAAATCTAAGTCACAGATGAAGATTTATCAAGCACTCACACTTTTTAAAAGCCCTTGATTGAAGCCCTTAACTTTGGACGCTCGTACCTTCACGTGTCCCTCCTTGGCCTCCCCGTACTGCACATGCTTTCTCAGGTGGTTGCAGATGGCCCGGAGGGTGGAGTGGACCTCCACGCAGAAGTTGCACCTGTAGCCGATGGGAGTCTTATCGGGGGTGCCATCCACCTATAGGAAGAGACAATGACGACAGAAGATCATTCGATGCAATCTAGTTTTGTTCTGTCACTTGCAACTAGAATCAATGAAGCTCAAGATTATGTCGCCAGTGTTGCCTGCTTGCAATGTACTTGTTTGCATATGGTGGTCGAGGTTAAATCCAAATGTAAAAGCTACACTAACACCCAAAACATCTTTTGCTGTTATTCTACTTCCTATGTTCCTAAAGCAAACAGATCAATGCTAGAGAAAATCACACAGAATACAGTTTTGAAAGTTAGTCAGGGCCCGTATTTATCAAGCCTCTTGAGAATTACTCACAAAAACACTGCTAGGAATTGACTTAAGAGTAAAAAAAATTCTTGGCTCAAAGCTGCGATTAAAAGTTAGTGATCAAGCATCTCAGTCGTAATTTAAGTGTAGGAGTCAGTCTTCGAGATGATTCAAGACACTTTGCTGTGCCCCAAACAGGATTTTGGATGACGACATAGACATGGACCAATCACTGAATTTTCTCAAGAATAAAATGGCACTTTGAGAAGCTTGATAAATACGGGCCCGGGTTATTCAACTAGTATAACCACTTTTACCCATTACAAGGTGTCTGAGCTCACCTTATTTTCTGGTTTGGCTTCTGGCGGCTCTGTCGTCCTCTGCTTGCTTTGAAGCTGTTTTCTTCGTTCAAGCCTCATGGCTCTTTTCTGGAAATCCTCATTGTGGTTTATCAGATGGACGCCGAGTTCTGGAAGAGTCAAGAATTTGATTTCACAGTGGGTGCACTGGTAGAGCTCTGTCCCATCTTCTGCGGGGCTCGGAATGGTGACGAAATCCCGCTTGAGCTCCTTGTCGTGGCAGTCATTGTAATGCATCACCAGCAGCTCCACCGCGCTGAACGAAAGCTTGAAGCATTTCAGGCATTTAAAGGGGAGCCAGTCCACATCACCTTCAGGTTCCACCTCATCCTTAACTTCAACGATTTCCACCTCCTCCGTAGATGGAGGTTTCTCTGCCTCCTTGGAATAGATCACAGTGAAGTAACGGCCCAGTTTGCTGGAGGGCTGCTTCTTGGGAAAGACTCCTGGGTGGCGTTTTATGTAATGAGAAACGATACTCTTTCTGCTGAAAGCCTGGAAGGAGCAGAGCGAACATTTCCTACGGTCCACCGCAAGCCTTAGCTCTTCGCTCATCGCTGGAGCCTCTGCCTCTGACGCCAAGGGCACCATCACCTTTTTCGGTTTCTCCCCCACCGTCTTGGATGCTGCCAAGCAATGCGTGTAGTAGGCATCAATGTCGTGCCGTTTCTGGTAGTGTGCTGCGAGGCCTTTGCGGATGGGGTTGGTGTAGGAGCAGAGTGCACATTTAAAGACATTGTTCTTCCCTTCGGGCTGCGCTCTGACATTGTTATGCTTGATACGGTAGTGACGAGCGATACCTTTCCGGGTGGAGCAGAAGTATTTGCACAGCTGACATGTAAACACCGCATTCTTGTCACTCTTTGCGACTTCGGGAATTGCGAGGTCAAAGTCACAAATCTCAGAGACTTTGGTCACACTGCTGCTACTGCATTCAGCAACCAAATCGTCTCTTCTGGTCGGTGACTGCTTGGCAGCTGTTCTGAAAATGTTTGCAGCAGACTGGTTATGATATTTCTCATAGTGTATCTTGAGTTTCTCTAAAGTGCCATGTGTGTAAGGGCACATCTTGCAGCGGTAAGCACCGTAGCCCTGCCTCTGTGTTTTAGATCGCTCATCCCCCTCGTTAACCAACTCGTTTACCTGCTCGACATCATTGGCAAAGTCTTCAGCCGTGACTTTGATGGAAGGATGCCGTTTCTGGTAGTGTGTGAGAACTCCATGGATGCGCGAGTTCACGTATGGACATTGTCTGCACTTGTAAACAGAGCTAGGGTTGATGTCTGCCTCCTGAGCGAAGTCAGCAGCTTTCACTTTCATGCCCGGGTGTTTTTTGCCATAGTGGGTCAGAAGCCCATGAAGACTGTTGTACTCAGACAAGCACACGGTGCACTGGTAAGGGTTGTTTGAGATAGACGACGTGGCAGACAGAGAGAGATTAGGTTGTCGCTCATGTGTTCGGCGGCTGACTTCAACTGTAGTCTCTTCCTGCTGGTTGCTGTTGAATGGACTATACATTGAAACGTGTCCTTTGGGCAGTTGTGGGAGCAGCTTATCAGGTGCTTGGTTCCCCTTGATAATGTCGAGCAGGACAGACTCGTCACCTTTGATGTCGATAAACTAATTCAGAATTTAGTTTAATGTTTAGGTTTAAAATACATTGCTCAACTTTAAGAACTTATAAGATGTTGATACAATTTATAAGATTGTTACAATTTAAAACTTTTTTTTTTTTTTTTTTTTTTCAATTTTAAAATAAAAACAAATGAAACAAACTGAGCACATACTAAAACACTTCATGATGCGAATATTATCCAACGTTCATGCAAATGGGTTTTTTAAAATTTAAATAAATTACTGAATTAACTTCTCAGGAGGACTTCACAAAAATATTTTAGCTCAAAGAGCTTCAGCTTACGAAAAACCTTGGGAATCCCTGCCCGTGTTTCTTTGTTCAGAGTGTGTGTTCTGTGCCGTGAGCGCTGCCCCCTAGTGTCCGGTGCGATCCGTCCCATCTGCTGATCCTCACTGGGCTTCCGTTCAAATCCTCAGGCTGGGCCTCCCTGCCAGCACTGGCACTCTCAGTGGAATACTAACACTAAGGCGCTTACACGCCTCTCTCCACGCCACACCGTCAAGACGACGGAAGGGTTGCATCGAGAGTCTCAGGATTCTTCTGTGATACACAAACTGGACTTGGCCATGTCTAAATGCAGCTCTCTGCAGAAACAGTCCACCTTAAACGCTACGGTTAATGAGGAAAGTCCTCATTATGAAAACCATTACACTGTACAAAACAGCACACATTTCTACTATAATACAGATATTGCAACCATGCATTAACTAATTGAAACTAACATTTATGCTCTTTAAACAGCATTTTGCCAATTCATTGTTTAATTATGCACAGAGATTTCATAAGCTCTGTACTTTTAAAAATTAATTTGTCACACTGCAGGACCATTTTAGATCAACTACTGTAGATGAAAGTTGATTAAATGTGGATCTAAGAAATACACTTTCCTCTCTACATTAATATAAATGTTAACCTAAAATCTTTTGAAGTCCATAGACATGCAAGGCATCATAGGTGCGCTCCTGACAGAAAGGCTGTTCCAAGAGGTTGGTAGCAACATTGTTGGCTTCTAAATACACATTCTAAGGTCGCTTCACATTCAGAAAAGAGCTTCAGAAATAAAAAGAAAATCCTTCAATCCTTATATACAAAACGTGTAACACAAGGCCGCTAGATTTAATTACATGACCAACTTTATGGCACGTTGAAGGCTGTCCTCATGAATGCCCACACAAGGAAATAAAACGCTCGAGTTTAAGGAAATGTCATAATACCGCACTAGTCCATTTTCCCTGTTTCTTCTGCAATACTCAAGGATTTGCTCTATTTGTCCATTTCATTGAATGTGCAGTCGAACTGTAATGGTCTAACCATCCAAACAAGTGAACAAAACACTTGAGTGGAAGGAAAAACAGGTCCAAACGGCCTGTGAATGCACTTGCTATTAGAGTAGAGCAGAAGAAGAGAGGCCACCTCAGGAAAAAAAGGATTTAGATATTGTGCACAAATCTAATTAAGATGCCAAAAACAGATGAGAAAACTAATGCAACTGTATAAATCTAAGTCACAGATGAAGATTTATCAAGCACTCACACTTTTTAAAAGCCCTTGATTGAAGCCCTTAACTTTGGACGCTCGTACCTTCACGTGTCCCTCCTTGGCCTCCCCGTACTGCACATGCTTTCTCAGGTGGTTGCAGATGGCCCGGAGGGTGGAGTGGACCTCCACGCAGAAGTTGCACCTGTAGCCGATGGGAGTCTTATCGGGGGTGCCATCCACCTATAGGAAGAGACAATGACGACAAAAGATCATTCGATGCAATCTAGTTTTGTTCTGTCACTTGCAACTAGAATCAATGAAGCTCAAGATTATGTCGCCAGTGTTGCCTGCTTGCAATGTACTTGTTTGCATATGGTGGTCGAGGTTAAATCCAAATGTAAAAGCTACACTAACACCCAAAACATCTTTTGCTGTTATTCTACTTCCTATGTTCCTAAAGCAAACAGATCAATGCTAGAGAAAATCACACAGAATACAGTTTTGAAAGTTAGTCAGGGCCCGTATTTATCAAGCCTCTTGAGAATTACTCACAAAAACACTGCTAGGAATTGACTTAAGAGTAAAAAAAATTCTTGGCTCAAAGCTGCGATTAAAAGTTAGTGATCAAGCATCTCAGTCGTAATTTAAGTGTAGGAGTCAGTCTTCGAGATGATTCAAGACACTTTGCTGTGCCCCAAACAGGATTTTGGATGACGACATAGACATGGACCAATCACTGAATTTTCTCAAGAATAAAATGGCACTTTGAGAAGCTTGATAAATACGGGCCCGGGTTATTCAACTAGTATAACCACTTTTACCCATTACAAGGTGTCTGAGCTCACCTTATTTTCTGGTTTGGCTTCTGGCGGCTCTGTCGTCCTCTGCTTGCTTTGAAGCTGTTTTCTTCGTTCAAGCCTCATGGCTCTTTTCTGGAAATCCTCATTGTGGTTTATCAGATGGACGCCGAGTTCTGGAAGAGTCAAGAATTTGATTTCACAGTGGGTGCACTGGTAGAGCTCTGTCCCATCTTCTGCGGGGCTCGGAATGGTGACGAAATCCCGCTTGAGCTCCTTGTCGTGGCAGTCATTGTAATGCATCACCAGCAGCTCCACCGCGCTGAACGAAAGCTTGAAGCATTTCAGGCATTTAAAGGGGAGCCAGTCCACATCACCTTCAGGTTCCACCTCATCCTTAACTTCAACGATTTCCACCTCCTCCGTAGATGGAGGTTTCTCTGCCTCCTTGGAATAGATCACAGTGAAGTAACGGCCCAGTTTGCTGGAGGGCTGCTTCTTGGGAAAGACTCCTGGGTGGCGCTTTATGTAATGAGAAACAATACTCTTCCTGCTGAAAGCCTGGAAGGAGCAGAGTGAACATTTCCTTCGGTCCACCGCAAGCCTTAGCTCTTCGCTCATCGCTGGAGCCTCTGCCTCTGATGCCAAGGGAACCATCACCTTGTTCGGTTTCTCCCCCACCGTCTTGGATGCTGCCAAGCAATGCGTGTAGTAGGCATCAATGTCGTGCCGTTTCTGGTAGTGTGCTGCGAGGCCTTTGCGGATGGGGTTGGTGTAGGAGCAGAGTGCACATTTAAAGACATTGTTCTTCCCTTCGGGCTGCGCTCTGACATTGTTATGCTTGATACGGTAGTGACGAGCGATACCTTTCCGGGTGGAGCAGAAGTATTTGCACAGCTGACATTTAAACAATGCATGCTTGTCGCTCTTCGCGACTTCGGGAAGCTTGAGGTCAAAGTCACAGGCCTCTGAGACTTCGGTCACACTGCTGCTGCTGCATTCAGCAACCGAATTGTCTCTTCTGGTCGGCGACTGCATGGCAGTTGCTTTGAACATGTCTGCGGCAGACTGGTTATGATATTTCTCATAGTGTATCTTGAGTTTCTCTAAAGTGCCATGTGTGTAAGGGCACATCTTGCAGCGGTAAGCACCGTAGCCCTGCCTCTGTGTTTTAGATCGCTCATCCCCCTCGTTAACCAACTCGTTTACCTGCTCGACATCATTGGCAAAGTCTTCAGCCGTGACTTTGATGGAAGGATGCCGTTTCTGGTAGTGTGTGAGAACTCCATGGATGCGCGAGTTCACGTATGGACATTGTCTGCACTTGTAAACAGAGCTAGGGTTGATGTCTGCCTCCTGAGCGAAGTCAGCAGCTTTCACTTTCATGCCCGGGTGTTTTTTGCCATAGTGGGTCAGAAGCCCATGAAGACTGTTGTACTCAGACAAGCACACGGTGCACTGGTAAGGGTTGTTTGAGATAGACGATGTGGCAGACAGAGAGAGATTAGTCTGTCGCTCATGTGTTGGGCGGCTGACTTCAACTGCAGCCTCTTCCTGCTGGTTGCTGTTGAACGGACTGGACATGGAAACGTGTCCTTTGGGCAGTTGTGGGAGCAGCTTATCAGGTGCTTGGTTTCCCTTGATAATGTCGAGCAGGACAGACTCGTCACCTTTGATGGCCCAAGGGTGCACCGCTTGGTAATGGTTAGTAATATCCCAGATGGAGCACGCCTCAAAGGCACAATCTCTGCATTGGTAATGCTTCGTTTCAGAGTTCCCAGCTTGTCTGCTGGTGGAAGTATCAGGACCAGCCCATAGTTTGCTGGCCATGTAGGTGTAGTCAACATTGTGCTCAGGATGGCGTCTTTGGTAATGCATGAGCAGCCCGCTTGGTTCAGCGTGAGAATATATGCACCACTCACAGTGATAACCAGCCTCTAACACACCATCCTGATAAGCCCAGTGTAAGATCGTCATGGCCGTGGCCTTCACAGTAGGATGATCCTTCTTCAAATGCTTCTTCAAGGCATACACATAAGGAGACATGTATGCACAGTGTCTACACTTCAAAGATCGCAACGACCTGGATTTTTCTGCTTCAGTAGCTACAGTTGCAGTGGACGTGGAACTTCCCGCTTGGATCATCTGTGCTCGTTCTCTCTGACTCCTGACCACAGCCGTGTGTCTACGGACGAGGTCGGCATTGGCTTTCACGTCCCTGTGCTTCTTCTGGTAGTGAATCAAGACCCCCTTCACAGTGCGGTTCCCGTAGTCGCAGTGTTGGCAGAAGAACAGCATTTCAGGTTCCCCTTTGTCGGATGCTCCTTTAGTGTTGGAATTACCTGACCCTTCAATCCCGTTGTTGTTGAATTGCTTCAGAAACTGTTTAGGAGGTGCGATCTGTAACTCATCCATGAGTTTCAGCAGTCCCGGAGTTGGGGGTGCCTGCTTTATGTACTTTGCCGTCACCTTAATCTCCGGATGTCGCTTTTGATAGTGGACCAGAACGCCCACTACAGAGCGGTTGTTGTAGACACAGTGTTTGCAGTAGTAAACATCTTCATCCAGAGCCACAGGCAAGATGACATTTGAAGACTTGGGGGTGCTCGTCAGGCTGTAGGTTGAATTGTTTGACAACTGTGCTTGGTCAACAGATATGACCCGCATGGTCTTCTGTATGCGGAAGTAGGAGGCCTTTTGCTCAGGGTGTTTTTTCTGATAGTGGACCAATACTGAGTGCATGTTGGGACTTGAGAAAGAACAGACATCACAGTCGTAAACCACCACATTACCACCCAGACTTTCTCGAAAAGCTTCAGCCTCAGTGTTTGCTTCTGGCGTTTTGCAGATGCTTTTGATAGCTGGACTGGATGATGATCTGGACCCAGATGAGGAGGATCTGAAACTCTTGGGCCCAGAATTCAAGATTTCCCTCAGTGTTTGGGATTCAGCAGCCCCCTTATGAGGCTGATCGACCATGTAGCTGGAGAAGATCATGGCATTGTTGATCTTCACTGAAGGGTGCATTCTTTGATAATGGGGCATCAGGCTCCGCACATTTGGACTTGTGTAGGAACAGAAACGGCACATGTACACCAGATCTGGCTGGTTAAAGTTCAAAACGTTGCTTGCTTCTGGATGGTGTGTCATATAGTGCTGGTGCAGATCATTAAAGTTGTTATATTCGATGAAGCACTCGAGACAACGGAAGACTGCACTCTGATCCTCTGGGTCCAGGATGTATCTGAAGCTAAACTTGATATAAGGGTGCATCCTCTGGTAGTGTGTGCTAACACTGCGAGCAGACTTGTTTTGGTACTCACAATGTTTGCAGTAGAACAGGTTCCCAGGTTCTTCAGTATTGTATTCAGTGTTGTCTTGATATGTCTCTCTGCTATCTTGACTGCTTTGATCTTGGGCATCTTTAGATTCCAAGGAGGCACTGTAATTGTCTTCATCATCAGAAATGGTTACTTGAACAGGAATGTTTCTTGAGCCAAGCTTGGACTGCAGATTGCGTTTTCTTTTCCCAACACCACGCTCTGTCTGAACACTTCCAGAATTTCTAACATGAAGGTGCTGAGTGTTGAAGGTGTAGTGCTGACTTCGAGCATCAGAGGATTCTCTCTCTTTGCTTGTTTCTAAATCGATGTGATTCCCATTCTCCTCCACATCGTCGTCCATCTCCTCAAGGTTAATCACATCTTCATGCTGTTGGCTTTGACTAATCTTGCTCTGGAGATTGTTTGCGATTTCATCAATCCTTGTCCGTTTTTTGACAGGAGAGAGATCCAAGGGTAAATCGTTGATAGACTTTCTTGCTGTCTTCCCAATAAGATGCTTCTTGGTTGAAAATCCAAGGATTGAGGTCTGAGTTTTCTGAACGAAGCTCGAGGAGCTGTAGGATTCGGATTCAGAATCTTGCTGCTCATTGGACGAGCCCTCTTGACCCGTGACTTGTGTTCCATCACAGTATGAGTGTTTGTGTTGCTGGTGGACACGTAGACCTTTCAGTGTGATGGTGGAAAAGTTACACAGTGAGCACCGATGAGGACCCTGCAGTTCCTCGACTGTGCTGGATTTTTTCCCGTTGATTTTAGAGCTGCCATTTCCTCCGTTCACTGGCACGGAGCGTTCAGCCGGACCATCTACACTTTCGCTGGTTAAGTCCATAGTGTTCCATTCAGAAGACCCACCATGACATTGTTTGTGCGTGTCAAGTTTTAGAGGGTTGGTGCAAAGAAAGGGGCACTTGTCACATTTATACACCGTAGCTTTGCCAGATAAGTGTATGTTCTCTATGTGACGAGAAATACTACGTCGGTGCATGGTCAAGAAGGAGCAGAAAGGGCACTGGAACCTGTTCATGTGTCTTTTGAATGGAACTCCTTTAGTTTCCAGCAGGTCATTATCCTCTTCTGACAGAAGCAGCTTAGTAGAATCCTCAGCTGACTCTGTGTAACTGGGATCATCCAAGTCACAGAGTTCATCATCTGAACTGCTTCTGGAATCATTCAGCATGCTGGCATCTAGATCCATGCCAGACCTTGACATATCTGACATGGTGAAAGTCGATCTCTCTGACAGTATGGAAGATCCTGTGCTGTTGGGTATTTTTGCTGTGAGCTGGGAGTACTGAAAACTTGATATCCCTGAAGTGGTCTTGAGTGATGCATTGCCAGAGGATCCTTTGATTGACGAGGCATTTGCGGAGGAACCTTCATTGCACGCTAGATCGTTCAGGTTCAAATTGGAGGTTGGAGTGCTTCTCCTGGATGAAGCAGAATCAGACTTGCTGGATCCCGCACTTCCGTCCTGCATTTTGGGCTGTTGCAAGGATACCATGATCTTCACCATGTTACGGTGTTTCTTCATCATGTGATCGGCTAACTGCTGCCTTTGCGATGTCTGAAATCCACACCACTCACAGTCAAAGCCTCCTCTTGACTGGGGTTTGATCATAGATTCCAGCACATTACGTTCTACATCCTCTGGCGACTCTTCACATTGTTCTTCAATGGAGGAGGCGTCAGAGTGCAAATCCAAAACCTCTGCTCCAACAGGAGGAGCCGAGTGGCCTGGAAAGCACCCTTCTTTGTGATGCATTTTTTGGTGTTTCAGAATCCGTGCTCTGTGTGGGGATTTATAAGTGCAATACTGGCAGGAAAAGACCGTTCCTACACCATCATAAGTCGTAGCGCTGCAGCTGGCCTGCTTGGAAGTTTTGAGGGATCTCTCATCGCTTGCTTCTCCATGGACCTTCCTGGTGTGTTCACTGAGAAAAGAGCTAGATCTGAAGTACCGCACACAGAACTTGCACTGGAAAAATGGAGTTAACGTTTTGTTTGAAGGTTTTGCTGACTGGATGCGTTTCACTTTCTTTGAACCGGAGATGTGCCCAAGGTCTTTGTTAAAGGGTTTAACACCTGAAACATGAACAGAGAAAGAAACTATTTCAAACAAGTTTAGCCCTTCTGATGTAGTTTTTTTAACTGCTAATGTGTCATTTCTGAATCACAAATGTTGATATACCTGCTTCCTTTTTCAACGAGTCATAATTGTGATTGCTCAAGTCTTCCTCATCCTCTGTTTGGCTGAGGGAGTTTAACGAGTTTGACCTGGACCGTCTGGGTGACTCATCACCTTCTCCCACTTCTGTGGGCTGCAGGAAGGCCGTGTGGACGTCTTGTATGTGCGCCTTGAGCTCATCGTTCGACTCTGCACGGAAATCACAGCCATCGCACTGCAGCACTTCCATCGCTTAGGACTCCCTGGAAAATCAGGGAAACCTGGTTAGGGACAGAAAGAAAAGAAAGGGGTAAGAGTATAGAAACACAGGCTGTAAACAAACACTTGGAAAGGAAATTTTGCAGCATTGTATTTCATAGCAAGTCGAAAGCAATCTGAAATTCTGACAAGGCAGAATTCAACAGAAGAATGTTTCTTTTTTTGGCGAGTGGTCAGTCTGCTCCAAGAACAATAGCTGAGGAGGGATTATGGGCTGATTTGTTCCATTTTTTTATTACCCAGGGATAAGCCTCAGCTGGAGCACACCAGTGGGCCTTGGTATTTACATCAGCATGTTCCATCAGATTGTATCAAGACCTTCTGAAATAAGATTGAGTGAATCCGCCGAGGGATGAGAAACGCTCAGGGCTTCAGAGATGCAGTGCAAACACAAAGGATTATGGGGCGGGCCGTCACTTGGAGGTGGCATTATTATGTCCCGTGACCTAAGAGCACCTGGCAACCATGCCAATCAATGAGCTGAAACAAAGTATAATTCTGTCCCTGATCAATACTTTTTCATTAATACTCACACAGCTGCCAAATTCAGCACATACGCATGCGGTCCGTGCTCAAATCCCTGCTGTATTTGGGAATATTGCAATATTTCATTAGATTGCACTGAACATTTTCATAAACCAATAAAACTTTTCCATGAAAATCTACAAACTGAGCCAGAAATCACAGACAGTATGTTAGGAAAATATGATTTGAATAAAACTAATTCAGCACTAACCTCATGTAAACCTTATATCCAAAAATACATATAAAACCACAACTGCCGCTTTTCGCTATAATACCAAGCAACGGTAAAAGACCATGTACAGAAACAACGAACATGTTTTTCTTTCATCATGGGTCATTCTCTATCTGATCTGTGTGGCAAGGACATGAATATTAGCATGAACTCAACAACAGGAATGCATTTAGCAGTCGTACAGCACGGTACCAGCGCTGCAGATCTGAAAGCCATCAACACAAACCAGAGTAAATCTTCAGCCTTGGCTGGCTAGGACACATTCTGAGGATGATTTCTGCAAGAAAAGGCCTCAATGTCAAGGCCAGTGTTATATGGGTTTAGTGCAACGCTACACATTAGAGGCGGCCTTGAGTGCTGTAAAACCAAACAAAATAGATTCTACTTGGATCTTAGTCAGTCATTCTAAAGGCACAATAGACCATTTTTACCGGTTGTGAGGATGAATTGATATCAAATCAGTGATTAGACTCTTAATTCACAAAGAAAAGGGACCAAAATACAATCAAGGACCTGCAATTGTTATTAAAATAAGAGACACAAATGTATGAACAATAGTTATCATAGAACACATGTGCCTTAAATATGATTCAAAATCCACTAATAAATTTCACTGTTCCTATTTTGCACGAATATCATTTCATGCAATTCTAAAGCAAAAAAAAAAGATTGTTTGCTTTCATCAAAAGCTAATACAAGGCCACGTGGTTGGGTAAAAATAATACTGAAGAATATCTTTTCATGGTGCAATCAAACCCTGATAGATAAAATTAAGGGTTGCGCTTGATTTCGATAGTAAACTTTAGATATTATACTAACTATAAGTACCATTGCAACAACATGTTACTTAACTCTCATTAGTGTATTAGTAGACTGTTAGGTTAGGGTTAGTTGAATAATGTACTTGCAAAGTTACTTATAGTCAGTTGAATGTCTGTTAGCAGATATTAAGCAGACAGTCTACTAATACTCTAACGATTGGTAGTTTAATTAAAGTCAACCAAATTTCTAAAGTGGACTATCAAAATAAAGTGTTATCAAATTAAGTCCCATCCTACATTATCGTTGCTTCACCCACCTGATGAAAATACTAAAACGACGGCAATATCACATCATGGGTTTAATACTTAAGGGTTAAAACCCATCAAATTGGCAAATGCAATAGTTATACAGACACTAGACTGAAAACGGGTTTCATGGCTGAATGGTTGGAATTCCTGATAGATGAGAAGATCTCTCTTGTCGAGAATAAAGACATCCGATCTCTCACACCTATGGCCTCAAACGGTAAAAGCAGACACTGGTTTCAACCTTCATTCTCAACAACACTGCCAGTGTGTCCCAGGGCAGGTTCACCCATTGTCTCTCGAGGTCGAGTTTCAGCTCCGCCCTGATGTGTTCCAGCACTCGAGAGGAACTCAGAGCAAACTTACACTCATCTCGACAGCCATATCTGGACAAACCATGAAGTCTGGTAGAGGAGGAAAACACAAACATAAAACAACACAAATTGCACCTAGCAGCCCATCCGCCGGAGCGTCAGATACTTCCAGGCTAATGGGGTGAAATTTGTAAAGCTTTCATGTGCTTGGCGCGGCTCGGACAGCCACTGAGCGCCAAAGATCCTTTGAGCTTCAAGGGCAGCCATTTTAAGAGCAGCAATGTGTGCTGGGGTGTTCAGGCAGAGCGTAACATGGACTCACAGATCTGATCCTCTCGCTGCCACTGGAGAGCAGCTGACAGAAATCTATCTAGCAGATGTAATGCACCCAAAACCTTCAGCCTGCACAGCTCAGCAGAAGCACAAGGAAAAAACCTTCTGCCGTGCCAGCCTGAGCTCAGCCTGCCATATTTTCAACATCTTGGGATTTAAAAAAAACATATCACATTTTACATGCTGCAGAAGCTTTCACCCAAAGTTGGTTACAGAGCATCCAAAGGTGTGCAAGTGGAGAATGTACAGCGCTGGTCTAAAGACTTTGCCACATTAGACGCTTCTCAAAAACACTTGGCTACAACACTTGTGGAAACTTCTCCAAGACGTTAGAAAAACCCACCACCAAACTTTCTTATAAATGGTGCACAGGTGTATTTGGGACAAAGCAAAGGGTGGATGCACCAAATATTGATGTGATAAATAATGTACATAATCCTTTACGACATCACTTTCAAAAACAAACTTCTCGCAGTACTGTAACTTGCAGGTCGGTTGTTCCAAGCATCTTGAAGACACACTAAAGCACCAGAACAAAAAACTTAAATGTTTCTGTGAAGCACCTAATGTGTCAAAGACTTCAGCACAGTGTATAAGAATTCAACCCATGATCTTGGTGTTGCGAGCTCTACCAGTGTTGGCGCGGCGTGATACTGAAAGATCTTTTAAACATTCTGCAGATATTTTCACCCAAAGAGATTTACAGAGCTTCTAAAGGTGTGCAAGTGGAGAATGTAAAGCGCTGTGCTAAACACTTTGGCATATTCTATGCTTCACAAAAACACTTGGCTATTTATACACTAGTCAACATTTGAAGTGGATCAGAACCTTTCATCAAAGTCCTAAAACCTAAAAAGCGTTCTTGTCTTAAGTCAACTTTGATTAACTTTTTTGATCCACTTCAAATGTTGACTACTATATTTGACTGTAGAAAGAATTTCTCCAAGACGTTAGAACAACCTACCAGCAAACTTTCTTAAAAATGGTGCACAGGTGTATTTGGGACAAAGCAAAGGGTGGATGCACCAAATATCAATATGATTAATAAATAACTCTTACAACTTCTTGCAGTACTGTATCTTGGCGACTGGTTGTTCTTCCAAGCATCTCGGAGAAGTTTCCTACTGGCACATTAAAGTAAAAGTCTTAAAACAAACGTTTTTGTCAAGCATCTTATGTGCCAAAGACTTCAACACAGTGTATAAGGTTTTCATGTGTTGACCGTGTGCGCTGAGTTTTTGCAATTTAAAAAAAAACATCTTTAGACCTTGCGTTTTTTCCCCATTTACTGTAAAAATGAGTCATGCCAACATATTTTTCCAATACTACAACTCAAAATAATTAAATTTTTTAAGTTACACAAGATTCATCTAGACAAGATGTGTTGAAATGACTTGCACAGCCAATCTGATTATAAACTAAAACTTGAGTTCAATTGCTGCTTTAAATGTTCATCAAGTTGAATCAAGTGAATTTTTTTTAGTATTCCACTTCCCTCATCTTTTTTTGAACGTGAATGGCCCCTTACATTAATGTCTTAATTTCACTGCTGTCAATACTCAATTCAAAGACATTTGGTCACCATGACCCTAAACCAGCCTAACTGTACCAGGCTTCCTCAAGACTAACTAGTCTTATCTGGTTGATTTTGTCCATGCACTCTCACAGAGTCAAGAGTCTCTCACGTCCTCAAAACGAACTTAGAGGAACTAAAGCTTCACGAGGGGGTCTAAAAATGCAAAGCATGCTTGAACTTCCCTCTTTCAGAGCTCACAAAACATCTGCAGCCCTGGGCTAAGAATGAGGAAGACAAAAGAGCGATGGGAAAAAACTTGAAGCAGCGAACGCCGGTCCGACCCAGACACCTGCGAGAACTTTCTATCCCAACCCAACCAGATTTCAAAGTCTACTGACGTTTGTTAATCACCAACCTGCCTTAACAGCCTCCTCTATACCCCTCTCAAAGACACTCTCTGAATAAGCCAACATTAAGCTGATTAGAAGTAGAGGGGTTTTGTCCTCAACCGTTGGTCCACCATCTCACACAACAGAGAGACAGAGAAACGAATGAGGCCGTGATTGAAGATTACACTCTCCGGCTATATATCCACATTCTTCATTATGTTTCACCAGAAACATCTAATCAGCTCTCATGAACGAATAATGACGCACTGATTAACAACATTTGCAGCAAATTAATTGAGGGTTGACGGCTGAAGAACAATTACAGACGGTAAAACCAAACAGCCAGAAACTAGTACTAGTATTTACCCCGATTATTACAAATAGATGTCGTACGTTAAGAGTTGTTAATGATGTAGCCGCTCGAGGACTATTTAATCGCTCAGAGCTCAGGCAACTCTCAGTTATGCTTCACTGAAGTAGCATGTTAGTCTCAGATCCTTCCTCTGGAAAAATATTGTAAGAGTTCAACCCTTAAAACGCATTCGGGTACATAATTTCTAAAAAATGCCGTTTTTAGAAAGAGAACGAAACTTATTAAATGCTTCAAGACCTTTAAAATAAACAAT